TTTCTACCTTCTCCTCTCTGTCAACGCTCTCTGGTTTCATTAAAAAGAGTCGATCGTCAGATATTGTCCAAGATTAAAGATTAAAATCCAGGGTGGATATAGCTCGCTAGCAGCCTCGCACCGAGGACCTATCCACGTCATCATTTACCCAGAATGCTTTGTATGTAAATAAAATGGTCCCATCCATGTAATATATTTTTTAACTTTTAGTTTAAAAATTATAAAACCAAACAKCCTACRGTATTTTTACAGTGTTTATTTTACAGTTAAAATATACTGTATGTTTATCAAATAAAGTCTAATTTTACAACTAATCGGGGATCCCTTTAAAGAAAAACCATGTAAAGCAAAAGTTACAGCAGTGTAAAGGTAAATAAATTGCATTTGCTTAAACGACTACGAAGCTTTTCAACTGAGGTTGTTTTAGATTGACAACAATCCTCTTTGGACTCTGACCCCTAGCTAACATCTAACATATTCATTTAAAATGAAACTTCTCTTTCAAATGATTCAAATTAGGTTTCTTTTTTTTTTTACATGAGTCTCATTTAAACAATGAGCAATTGCAACAGTGATATGTGCCAAGACAGGATGATTAATGGTAGCTCCCTCACTCTGAATGATCTCTCACACAAACCAGATTTTTATCAGATTTGTCATCCATATATTTCCAATAACAGGTGTGGTCTTGACMCAGGAAGTGCTTAGAATGGATAAAACACTACTTCATAATTTTTGTGTTTAATGTGGAGGCTCTTTTGTTAGTTCAATACCAAAAACTGACGTCACGTAGTGTGGGACACGACATCTGCTTTGTTCACCAGACTGAACCCCSTCTCTCGTGTGTGTATAAAGTTTGAGGTTTATCTGTTTTTAGAACCAAAAGGACAAACAGATGGAAGCGGGTGTTCTCTCTGTTTGGGCTTCACTCTGGTCCTTCCCTCCCATGATCACTGCACACATTCTGGCCACCACAGAAGCGGTGGCTTTTGGGTGTAGACGACGTATGGGGCGGATTCAGCAGCAGAGTTGTAAAGAAGCTGTGACACACAGTTAGTGGTTCAGTGGTTTGTGTCTGAGAGAGACTCTACATGTGGTCGCTCCCAAAATGGAATCGGTGTCATGTCATGACCCAAAACCATGTGTTTTTAGATGACAAGTTGTGTCAGACGAAAAGTTTCTGCATCAAACTTAACTAAAGTCGTATTTATCAGGGTTTGAAAATGCTGTTGGGTTTTCAAAAATGGCTCCCACAACAGTTTCTATCCTGTTTTCACGGCTCTTAGATATCTCAGCTCTATAAAAAATATGGAAACACTAAAGAGCAAAATTTGTGCCATACTCAAAACAGAGCTCAAGCCTTGTTTATATGTATTATCAGCCTCACATATTCTCACTTTGAAGTGGCAGATCAGAAAACACTCCTCTGGAAATGGTGTCTTCTTTTCAGATGCATCCTCCAACGCACCGATTTTGTAACTGCTCTTGGACCAAGTCCTAGGATATTCTCCGCTTTTAAATCTAATGGTGAAAACAGTCTCACAGTTTAGGCTTTGAGTCTTAGCGCAATACACTGAAGTACAAGCTGTTCCAGAGCTTTCAACACTCTAGTTAAATTGCTATGCTTCTGCATTGATATATAATGTTGTTTTTATGACATTTTATTTGRGTTTCTCATGATTTATTAATAATCTAAGAAGATTTGGTTTTTCAGTTACGTTCTGTTCTTGTAGTTGTCTGATGTCCTGTTATGAAGGGCTTGGTAGGTTAGAACCCCAAGTGTAGAACTGAAATGATCGTGGCAAAAATGGTGCAAATGGCTTTATTAAACAAATCAAAAAGCTGGCGTGGCAGCAAACAAGATACTAAGGTTTAGCTTGATACAATAACAGGAACAACACATCAGAGAAGATCTGACAAAGACTGAAGACAGAGAACAGAATATAAAGGAGAAACTAATGAGTGCAAACAGGAAACACTTGGGGGAGAAACATGAGGATCAGGTGTGAGTGGGCGGGGCTGGAGCACAGGTAGACAGGAGGAAGAAAACAGATGACAACTAAAATAAAACATTAACACAGACATAACATAGCCCCCCCACCCCAATAAGGGACGGCTCTTGACGTCCCAAAAACAAATGTTCAGGAGGCTGGCCATGAACCTCCCTGCCGCAGAGGCCAAAGTCAGGAGAATGACTTGGAG